TCCACCATATGTGAACCCCAGCAAAGGCAGAGAGGCTTTTGTCACTTGCCCAACAAGCCACATGTGGGGAACATGCTTGGGTTTTGTCTCTATGAGTTGGTTCCTCAAGAATTTTAGGAATTAACCTCGTCAAAAACAAATTATGCACGGCTCCATTGGCTGGCATCAGGTTAAATCTAAAAAATCCTGCTGGCCGGATTGCTGGAACTGAAAAAGAACTTGTTGATTTCTGCCTCCGGTTTTCATTCTTTGCTGCAAGCTTTATCAGAAACTCATATTTGAAAAGAATCTAAATTATTTTTATGCAGTATTGTTGAATCTTCCGTTTCCAAGATCAGTCCACTTCCCTATTGTGTCTTCATGAAATGAGCATATCATTTGTTCTATTTGCAGTGGCATTGCTGTATCAATGGTCATGAAGTATGCAGATAATATTGTGAAGGTGAGACACAATTGTCTGCTATTTATTTGTAGGTCCTGTATTCTTAAGCAGCCATCTAATTTGTTAGAATCATGATGCTATGATCAGTAACATATGCATAGCATAGTCACTGTGTTTGAAATGGGTCCAAGGTGCATGCCTAAGTTTATAGGCAAATGCTTACTTCTGTGATGCTGTTTTATTGGTTTTAAACTTTTTCTCTTCTGGAATAAAATTTGAGAGTTAGAAATTGCAAACAGGAGATTATCAGTACACCACTACAAAATGAGGAAAGACTGGGTAAAAGAGATGCAACTGCAAAAGTTAAAGGCAGCTAAGAGCTGTCTAATGTATTTTTAGCGGAATATGTATTCCATGTGAAATGAACTGCTAAAAGTTTCATTTAGACTTACATCATTGCCAGGTTTCATGCTTCATGTTAAAGACTTAGATTTACTTGTCTGCATCTGTCCACAAGGTAATTCATCTTTTAAAATTCTACCTTGAACTACCCTGGCATGAAGGTTAGGCATCTAAGATATCTAACATACTGTTTGATTTGCAAGAGATTTCTATTTTTCAATGTTAGAAGCTCATCATAGTTGTGAAAATACTGCTATACTGTCAGCATTGGCTATTTGTTATTAGAATGATAAGACTGAATTGGTGAGCTGTAAATTTTAGTTCTTGATACCAAGGATTTGCTAAAGGAAAACGAGCAATGCATTAGTTCTTGTCTGTAACTTTCTATTTTTGTTTATTTTATGTTTGAACATTTTGCAGGTTTATTCTACTTCTGTGGCAATGCTTCTCACAGCAGTTGCTTCAGTGTTCCTATTTGGCTTCCACCTGTCTCTAGCATTTTTCCTTGGTGCAACGTAAGTGAACTAAAACTATATTTGACCACTGAAAAGTTACATCACTACTACTGGATGAGCTACGGCAGGACATGTGATGGGCAAAGCCATAGTAATTTCAAATGGTTTGAGAATGAGAGTCATAAAAAGAAAAGTGTTGCTTTGCTTGTTGGAAATACTTCATAATATTGCATCGTGCATGGTTGCTATGTTTTTCATTTATGAAGGAGCATTTTGACCAACTTATTACACATATAACAATTATGTTTATTTCTATCTTTTTTGTGTTTCCAGTGTTGTCTCTGTTTCAGTATACTTACATTCTGTTGGGAAGCTGCAAAGATAGCCATGACTTCATCCTGTCTCACTTGTGCTGTCACAAGTCTTATGAACTGAGGTTTTCTTTCTAATTTTTCATTGTTCCCTCTTTCTTTTATTATTTCTATTATTTTCTTATCTTATATTATCATCATGTAAAATTTCAGATTAGGTGACATACTGATATACTTCCATTTTCTCTGTAACTCTGTTACATTGAGTTCAAAACTTACACAGCTTGTAGCTTCTGTTTCTGCTTACAAAAAGATCTTCAAGCAGTTTAGAATGATGCTATAGCTTGTGTTGTAACATTTCATGATCCTTCATGCCTTATATTCCCGTGGCTGAATTTACGTTCTTGGTTATTTATTCAATGTTTTACTGATGCTGGGATAGAAAGCAATTACTATATGTTTGGGTTGGGGAAATGGAGGGGATAGAAATGAGAAACCTTAGGGCTTGTTTGGTTGGTGGATTAGCTATTATTAGAAATATGTTCTTCCCTAGATTCAATGAATATTGCCAATATTAGGAAACCCCCAGTCAAAATATTGGTATTATTTTGCTATCTTATAACTTGGGAAAGAATTAAGAAATATGTATTCCTAGGATTAGTCAATCCACCAACCAAACAAGTACTAAGAGATTTTCATTTTTTTTTTTTTTTTGTGCCATTGCTCCATCAAAATGCAGAAGGTAATGTAGCTTTGTTAATTCCTTCAACTTTCAACCTTAATGGGGTGATTTAACTAGTTAAAAGTTTGAGATTTTAAATTAAAATTTTCAGGTTTGAACCTTGAGTTATTTGGGGAGGGATTTAAGAAAACCTATTTTTTCTTGTATGGCTCATCTAAGACGTACAAAGAAAAAAAAAAAAAAGAAAAATCCTTCAACTTACATTACTAGCTCATTAAGAAATACGTAGTCCTTGGAATAGCAAATCCACCAACTAGAAAGCCCTCAGGGATTTTCTTTTGTTGCCGTCGCTCCATCAAATGCAGAAGGTAATGTAGCTTTGAGATTGCTCCATTAAACGCGGGAGGTAAGTATCAGCAAATACGTATTTCTAGGAATGGTCAATCCATCAATTTAACAAGCCTTAATGATATTTTGTTTGGTTAAAAATATCAATTTAGTCCCTCAGCTTTCAGATTTGTACCAAATCTATCTTTGAACTTTAAAAAGTATCAAATTTATCCTTGAACTTCCATTTTTGGTACCAATTTGATCCTTTGGTCAGTTAAATGCTAACATGGCTAATTTTTCCCTGTTAAAACTTCATATTTTTTATTCTCAATATTATTTGGATATATCATGTGCACTAAAATGCTGATGTGGCAAAACTTTTACTATTAATGTTGCAAAAAAATACTATAAACATCATTTTAATTGTTCATAAAAAAGAGGATTCACATCAATTGGTTTCCTTCTCTTATAGACATCTTGATGATCTCTTTACCAACCCACAAATTGTAAGACCCAAAAAACACATTAAAATCCAAAAAATTCAAGGTTGCTTTTCTTGTTTTCAATTTTATTAATAAAAGTTTCAATCAAAGTAATCTTAAATTTAACTTCAAAACCTTGTAAAAATTCCTAAATAGATATAAACTCTAAAAAATCCAAATCATAAATCTTAGTACTGTAGAAAGGAACTAGACCTAGGTGTTGGTGCATTAAAGAACTGGTTGTCAACGTGATTGGAGTTAGAAGTGAAGAACCATATGTGGGTTTGTGGGTAATGTAAGAACTGGGGGGAGAATTATACTTTAAATTTTTGAATCTTAACCCAAAATAGGAGAAATTGCATCATTGCTGATTTACTCCACTGTTGGCTCCTCTTTTTCTGCATCGGGAAACTCATAATCTTCCCTTTTTGCCATGGTAATAGGAGTGCTAACTACTTATATGAGATGAGTTTGTGGATATTGCAAGATTTAGATGGAAACATTTGGTTAAGGGGCCATGGTAGGGTTTCCAAAGGCTTGGGATGTAGAGATTTAGGGGTAAAGGGGAAATCACCAGTATCAAAAGAGAATATTAAAATTGATGAAATGGGGAAAGGGATGAACTGGAAAAATGGAAGCAAAAGAGATGTTGGAGAAGATGGAGGAGAAATGACGGCCTAAGGACGAGAGAGAGAGAAAGAGAGAAAGAGTGACGAGGAACGGGAGAATAAGGAAGAAGGTTGTTAGGGTGTGCTGGTGGTGTGAGTTGATGAGTTAGCATCGATGATGATGTGGGGGCTAACTAGGATGACACCCAAGAAAATGAGGAGGGTTCTTTTGGCAACACCTCTCTTATGTGCAAAAGGCTACATGCTATAGGTCATCTCGTTCTGTCTAGCAATGATATCTTGTAGTGAATTCTTCAGTGAAGCTTGAAAACATAAATCTTCTAGCCAAGTTAGTAGGGCTGGCCAGCGATGACGGGGTTTCAAGAACACATGATGATTTCACAACTATAAAAAATAATGGGAAGAAGATGTGCATTGTTGAAGGGGCAGCAACGATGGAAAATACACGAGGATCAAAAGATTACAACTTAAGAATTACATTTATATATACGATATTGTGACATAATAGTAATGACAATAAATGTGACTTTTATCATCTTTAGTAAATATCATCACTTTATAATGAACAACCCTCATATTAAAGATGAAAAATACAATGACTTCTCTCTTGAAACTCTATCAAGAACAAAAGGGATAAACTTGGAAGTGGTGATGGGAAAAGGAAGGTTGATTACTTGGGGGCTTGTGAGTGGAGTACTTGATCCTGTGTTTTATGCTAACCTTGCAGCTTGATCCTTTGATGTTCAAGAAAAACTATCCAAAAATTGAAACTGCAATATGCTACCTTTTAGCCATGATGTGCTAGAAGTTTGCAAATTCTTCTACAGTGCTAGAAATGCAGAAAAGATGGAAAAAATGGTGGTTTCTGAGTGATTTTGACATGTAAGGTGAGAAGTTGAAGATGAGGGATTTTTCAAAGAAAACAAATGGAGGTTTGGTATGTGAGGAAGAAAGTTGGGGAGTGGAGTCTCTTTTCTACCGCCCTGAAAAATGAAGGAAAAATAATATATATAGGTATAGTAGCATTTTTGTAATTTTGGTTGATGGGTTAGAGGTGTGTGGGTGGGTTTAGTTGAGTTGTCAAGCTTTTAATGGCTCTGAGCACTGTTGGCAGCTCTCTGGTAGTGGCATCATGAATTGCCTGGTGGTTCCAACGAAGGATTGGAAATTGAATATTTCTGGTAAATCCTCCAGCCATACGAAATTCCATTTTTTGGAGGCTATTTGAGTGCAACTGGCAAAAACAATACCTACACAAGATTTTGGTGAAGTCCCCAGAGTTTGTGTAGGATTTTTGGAAGATTCTACAAGCAAACAGTAATCTTTGTAGCAATTTCCAAAGTCATGGAACTTGTGCGGTCATTCTTGCATTAAATATGGCTACAACTTGTTGATGGTGACCAAAATAACATCTTTGGTTAGTTTTCTAATGGGATTTTAAGCCTTTGGTTAGCATCAAAGGGTATTATTTCGGGAATCAAGTCCACTTTCGCTCCTTCGCCACCTAATCCTTTCTGGCAAAGTAAGGCAACATCGCCAACGCCAAGCTTTGCTAGCATGAGTACCTTGCTTCATCAGATGGGCTGTGTATTGAAGAGGATGATGTGTATGGATGTTCGCTGTGCCCCCTTGTTTACTGGCCATGGCGAGTGCCGGTATATTGCTGTTGCACATGGCTGGCATTGTGCCAGAGTAAAGAACAAATAATATGGGTGTGTGCTGCACTATCGTTGTCTCGAGTTAAGCATTATTGGTCGGTGATATCTACTAACACGTAAAACATAAAAAATATGTGTCATGAGTTGAGATTACCGACGATTGGTAATTTTGTCCCTTCGTATACAAGAATGATAATGTGCATGACCGCCGGCCATGTTGTATAAGTATTGCATGGTCAGCCATGAATAGCTTCCCCATAGCCAAAAGGACAATAGTGGTTAACTTTGCTTATAGTTGGAGCATGAACT